GCCCAGCCCTGCCCAGCCCTGCCCTGCCCTGCCCCAGCTCTGGGAGCAGCCGCTCTCACCACATATCGATGCTGGTGGTCTGGGTGGTGGTTCCCAGCAGCAGCTCAGGCGCACGGTACCTGCAGAGAAAAGTACTCCAGGTCACCTGTGGCCGGCCCCTCTCCTTCAGCCAGGGCCAAGCCTCCCAGGGGCTCCACAGTACCCTGAACAACAGGACCACTACTGCCAGGTCCAATACCCTCTGCTCTAGGCCTGAAAACCAGGTTGACACAGTGGTCACAGCTGTTAATGGAGAGCTGCCACATGAGCATGTCCTGTGCGTTACCAGAACCACCGAGGCCTTGGCACAGGCCTGTGGACATCAGCCACTGGAGTGTGGTCAATGCACACTGCAGGGGCGCCACATAGGGACCTCATGTCCCCCCTTGCCGCAGGTCGTTCTGCCTGTTAGCAGGATGATCACGGAGCTACGTAGGCCACCAACTCCCAAGGTGCTTCCAAGCCAGCTCTGAAGGCACCCCCTCAGGAAGGTGGACAAGGCGGGCTCCTTCAGGCCACTAACCCTAGCTGTCACTTTTTGCCAGGTCAACCCTGGCTATTCTGGGAAGCTGTCCTAGGCCACAGGTGACCTGGCGTGCCTTTCTCTGTCCAGCCTTTATGAGTCTCCCACTCTCCACTCTTCTGCAGTGTCGGCCCCACCCTCAAAGGGCCCTGAAACAGGTACACTCATCCCCGGGAGGGACTCACCAGAGGGTGACCACCTTGGGGGTCATTGGCTTGACTGGCACACCGTAGGCCCGGGCCAGGCCAAAATCCGCTGTGGTAAAGGCCAAGGGGGAAGGGGAGGTCCTTCAGGGCACTAAACAAGGACCGACACCCCCACCACCAAAGGTGTGTCCACAGAAAGCCACCTCCACACAGGCAGAGCCAGCACCCCGTGCCCACCTGTCTTCACACAGCCCTTGTCGGTCATGAGCAGGTTGGACACCTTCAGGTCCCTGTGACAGAACGCCAGTGTTCCCAGGAAGCAAGCTCCATGGGGCAGACTCACCACAGCCTGAGACCACATCAGTCTTACACTGCCCCCAACCCCCTTCTGAAAGCAAAGGGTAGCAATGGCAAGGACACTAGCCACCAGGTATGCAGTAGCTCCTGCTGCTGTGGGGGAGGCAAAGCCGGCCTCCAGCTCCAGTCCTCAAAGGCCCCCCACTCCCAGCAGTTCCTGGCAGAAGACATTTCCCCCAGGCAGCTGGAGAACTTCTGTACATCTGCCCCTGGCGGTCTCTGCGAAGGACTGCAGTAGGGGAGGCCGGTCACCCTGCCCAGTGCAGGCAACTGCTCTGACCTCCCTCTGGCTACCTCAGCTCACCTGTGAATGATGAAGTTCCTGTGAAGGTACTGGAGGCCCCGGAGCACCTGCAGCACAATGCACTTGACCTGTGTAGAGACCCAGGCAAGGGTTAGGGCGAGCCCATGGTGGACCCTCTATGTGCCATGTCCCCACTGGTGGCCAGGCTGTCAACACACAGCCTCAGGAACTTAGCGGCTGATGTGTCCAATACAACCAGAAAAGTGCAGTTGCCACCTCTCCTCCCCAGGGGCCTCCCGTGTCCCAGGCTGGGCTCCTCGCACTCCCCGACACACCCCACAGGCAGTAACTCCACCTCTCAAGAGGGCTGAGCCACCCCCACACCACCACCAGCCTGTTTGGTACAGTGGTCCCTGACCAGGGCTCGCAACGTGCCCCTCACATACCTGAGCTTCAGAGAAGGGCGTTGGCATATTCTCTAGGAGGCTGGCCAGGTCCTGTTCACAATAGCCCATCACCAGGAAGATGCTGGGGGAAAACAGGAGAACACCTGCCCCATCCTGCCTTCTCCCTTCTGGGCAGAGGCCCTCCCTCACTGCAGGAAGGTGGCACAGAGGAGCAGGGCCCCACGGGTGGTGGCCCAGCAGGGTACCTCTCCAGGTGGTTCCCGACAACCACCTCCTTGAGCTCCACAATGTTTGGGTGGCGAAGGCGCAGGAGCAGAGTGATCTCCCGCAGGCTGCTGATGGGGATGCCTGCAACAGAGAAGGCTCAGTGAGCCCTGCCCTGCCTTCAGGCTCTAGGGACACCCAGTGAAAGATGCTGCTACTGTCCCTGCTCGGGGAGACTGGCCATCACTGTCACTCATCAATAAAATCAGCAACTCTGTGCTCACTGCTGTACTGAAGGCATCCTGGTGGGTCCAAGCCCCTCCCCCAGCTGCGGCTCAGCGGGGTGCCAGGTTGGTGTGGAAGGCAGGTGAGGTGAATCGCCAGACTGGAGGGAGAGGAGGGGCAAGAGAGAATCCACACACCTCCAGGCAGTGGGGATAGACTTCACAAACCTGGCCTGGAGGTGACAGGCTGAGCCAGCCCCCTCATCACACCCCTTCCTGCTTTGAGGTCCTAGCTGTAGTAGTCTACCCCTCCCACTCACCATCCTTCTCCTTGTCCATTCGCACCTTCTTCAGCGCAACGATCTCATCTGTCTGTGTGTCGCGGGCCCGATCTGGAATGGAAACCCATCACCAGCCCCTCTGTGCTAGGCAGGAGCCCCTCTGAGGCTCCTTGGGGTTCCCTGCCCCTCCTCAGGAGCCCCCCTCAGCTCCTCAGAACTCCCTTTCCTCTAGCAACCTAGTGCCTAGTGATGCTCAGTCCTCACTCTGTGCAAGCAATACTCCTGAGACAAGCTCCCGGTGCTCCCTCACTCGCGCTGGGTGGGAATGAATACCCAGTTACTCTCTGAAACCTGGCCTCCAGCAACTCCAAGCATCCTCCTCCTCGGGCAACACATGACCCACTGCTTCACATCTGCCTGCAGCTATGTTCCAACAACAAATAAAGTGCTCTATCTGGATGGTCCCTCTTCCAAACACTAGACAGAAAGTCTCACACCAACAGAGCTGGTATGAACGCCAGCTGCTGCTGAAAATTCTACCTTTCAATATTCTAACAGCCGCTGCATTCCATGGTTATGCATTTGGGTTACTGATATTAGCAGCCTGAAACTGAGGTTTGCCCCCAGATATGGTGTAAAGTTCATGGAA